AAAAAAAAAAAAAATTTAATAAAAAGTTCGTCGTTTTCTCGACCAGGGATCGAGACTTTCACAATTCCGAATATCCTCTTCCTTAAAAAACTCGTGCATCACCCTGAAGTGAAATGTTTCTACAATTGATGGAGTCATTTTATGCACAAATCATGTCAACACACAACCTAACATAGCGAGGTAAATAGAACCGTACACGAGTCGAGCCGAACTCGATCACATACACGAGCTAGTAGTTCAGTAAATTACGTAATAATATCTCTTATTCTTTGTGCCTAACGAGTCGAGCTCAGCTCTTTAACCAAACAAGCTTTTTCGACACACTCAGAGCTCATAATAACTCGGATTCCGTCATAAAAACTACGAAGTATAATATGCATTTCTACACAGAGAGAGAAATTGAAACCTGAGAGCAAAAAAGGGCCAACAATCTAAATTTACAGCATTGCTCAAACCTCAGTAGAAGAAAGATTATGGCGACTCTTTAAACCCATTTGACTCAGCCTCTTGCATCTTCCTCTTGTTCATTTCTTCCTCGTACTTTCTCAATCTCTCATTCCACATCTCCTGTGCAAGTACAAATAATAATAATAATAATTATTATAAAAAAAAAAAGAAGCGTTTTTTGACAGGAATATGAAAAACCTAGATCTTATACGAAGCTACAAACCTTGTACTTGAGCTCAGCTCGATGCATTAGATAGAACCCTAGCATCCCGCCGAGTATGGTCCCTGTAATAATCCTAAAATAACCCCATCTCGGAGACTTCATCGACCAAATTAGGGTTTTTGGAAACAGAGCAGGACGAAATTTGAGCTCTGTTAATCAAAATTGGTCGTAAGCGCGTCAGCGATCCGCCGCGTGCAGCCGTGATTGGGTCCACCAGCGCCGCATCGGATAATTTGGGGATGTTCGGAAATTAGGGATTGAAGATTCTTTCATTGAGCTCTGGAATGTTGGTACAAATTGGACTGAATATCATGGCCGAGTCCTGGCATGGCCCGTTTGTTTTGGGTTGTCAGTTCCAAATAAGGCCCAATCGCAAAGGTGGTGTGATTTTTATATTCGAGATCCGTGAAAACCGAATCGAAACTAACCGAACTGAAACTAATAAAAAATACCTGGTTCGATGAACCAATCCATTTAATAAAAAATGTGGTGAGATTATGTCGAGTACTCACCGGTTTTGGTTCTTGGTTCGGTTCCTACTCCTATGTATATTAATCGAGTAATTGAATTTATATTACATTATACGCAATTGAAAATGTAACAATAAAATGAGCCTTGAAGGTATTCGTGAGAAAATGACGTAGAAATTTATTTTATTTGCACATTTACAAAAAAAAAAATGTTTTTAATTGCATGTATACAACTTTCAAGGTTCGTAAATGATTAATCGAAGGTTAATTTTTGTCATTTATTTTAAACTTTTAATTTTTTGTAACTCGTTTATGAATTATTTATGTGTAATTTAATTTTACATGTTTTAATTTAGCAAAAGCTTTTCAAATAAAAAGGGCAATGAGTCACCTTTACATTTACATTTAGTAAACCAACACATTTGGGCTCCATTTGGATGGCCGCATCATATCTAGACCAGTAACTTCTTCTTCTTCTTCTTCAAAGCCCATATTAATTCTGGGCTAAAGCCTCATGCTCAATTGGATCCCGTTAGAAAGCCTGCTGATTAATTCTTCAACCTGCACAAAAAAAAAAAAAATAAAAAAATTGTGTGTACTGTGTTCTGTGTTCTGTGTTCTGTGTAGGGTGTGCTCCGAGCTTCAGCTGATGAAAACAAGGGTGGATTTTGAGTTATGAGTGCAGGTGAGTATGGCGTTTTTTGATCAGCTTCAGCTCGAATCTATTTTTTTCGTTTTTCCCCTTTTCAGTCGTTCTCAAGGTGGGTTTTTAGGGTTTATGTTTTGTGATTGCTAGAATTTTCTTGGGAACTTTTTACTTTCGATGTGGGATTAATTGTACTTATTACCAGAGCTACTGATCGAACTGTTGAGTATCTGAAGAGTTCGATTATCTGATTGGCATAGTTATGATGTGATTTGTCTTATATTTTCTGCAGTTATAACACATATCAGTTGGCTGTTGGCCCTATGCAAACCAAAGATTGAAACTTTATGCCCAATCTTTGTATATACAACGAATTGCAGAACTTAAATGTTGGTTATACGTTTCCTTTGATGTTCTGTCAATCGTTTTGCAAGTTCAAATGTTCGAATGTTCGGCTTCTCTGTTCCTTTTACGCATTAGTCTCTGAAATGAACTTCAGAAACTACTTAGCTTTATCAGTCTTTGGATAATATTATGGCTGCAGCTTGTGTTTTTATATCATTATTGAACTTATTATCAAATATTATGACTATGGATTGTGTTGTAAATCATTATTGAACTTATTATCTGTGTTTTTTTTTTTTAACTTGTATCTCGATATAAATAGGAGGAGCATTTGGCGGAAATAGAGGCGCAAGACCTGTGCCGCCTGAAAAAGGAGTTTTTCCGTTGGATCATATGCATCTATGTGACCTGGTAAAAAAACACTTGGAGAAAACCGATCAATGTGAATGTGTAGAACATTACGAATGTATTATTACTCAAACCACCCCAACGTTTTAGCCCGAGTACAAAAATCTAGCTATGTTTTGTTCTTCTCTAGCGAACGAGCGTCAATGCGTAAACGGGCATCTGAAAGTGGATATATATAGTTTCGAAAGATATAATATTTGGTGTGAACTTTGAAGAAACTCTGTTAAATTATACTTGTGTGCATTTTGTTTGCCAGCTGTTGAGAGGTTCAGTTTTTACCTGCAGGAAAAGAAAGATTACATCAGTTGTCTGAAGTCCGAGAGCCATAAATCTGAAAAATGTAGACAGTTTTCTAAAAAGTACCTGGAATGCCGTATGGAAAAGTGAGTTCATTGATTGTATAAGTGTTACATGGGAAGTTTAAATTCATGTTGCGGCTAGCTGGGCCTTGGGTTTTACGGCCTGAAAATGTACAAATAAGTCGAGGGTTAGTAAATAGTAATGAACCTTTGTTAGGGTTAATTACGAAACTATCCATGAAGATTTGAATCAGTTGCGAATAAACCCATATATCTTGTGAAGAGAAAATTGCAATTTTAGTCATGTATGTTTCACTACCCTAACTTTTTTCGTCCCGTTGTTTTGATTTTTGTCCCTTATATTTGCAAAAAGGTTACAAAATGGTCCCTCGAGCAATTCGGAATGATGAAATTGCAACCTTTTTTTGCAAATTCGAAGGGGACCTTTTTGTCGTGAAAATGACTTCTTTACAACCTTTTTGCAAATATAAAGAATGAAATCCAGAAAAAANNAAAAAAAAAAAAAAAAAAAAAAAAAGGGATGGAATCCAAAACAACAATTCGAAGGGGACGAAAACGTTAGGATAGTGAAACAATGATACAATACTAAAATTGCATTTTTCTCTATTATGAATGTCACGAGCATGCTTCAACACATTTGAGGAAGTATTTGAAGTTTATGATAGTTTAACTTCACCACCTTTGCACTTTAAATATTCCTTAATTTTAAGTTAGCTTATGTATATTCTGGGGTAACGTTTTTGCAGGAACCTGATGGCAAGGCAAGATATGTCAGAACTTGGATTTAGAGATGTTAAGGATTTGCAAGCTTCTGCAAATGAAAGTGTCACTCTGAAGAATCTATAAAAAACGAACCATTTTCGTTAATCACATGTGACAGATGAGGCATCTATACGGCTATACCTTTGGGAGAAATCTACATCGTTATGCATTATTGTTTTATGTACGAGTTGCATGAGAATAGTGTAATATTGTTATTCACAAAGCTCGGGTTTTCGACTGTTTCGAGTAATCACTTGAATATATTCAACATTCATTGGGATTATATGGCTGGTTTTCTGTTATTCTATGTAACGATTAGGTAGCCACACTCTTTTTCAAAATTAATAGTTATTTTGTTAGATCGGTCTAACCATTAAGCGGGCAAATTTTTATTTTTTCTTTTTTTCTTCCAATCAAGTTCGTACATATTCATTAAAAGATGCTTTTGCTTTAACAAATAATGACATTTAATAGGCATGTTTGCAAACCCATAAAAGATGAGATCGAAAACTCTATATTGCCTACTGCCTATTGTATTTAGTAGTACGTACCCCGTGCGATGCACGGAACATAAATATTAAATGAATTATTTTCACAGTCTTTTCGTTTAAGTCTAAAAAGTAATAGGGTTATTATCTTTCTACCTCTTTTAATCAATGTTAAGTCTAAAAAACAATAGAGTTATAAGGTATGAAAATTATTAATCCGCTTTCTGGCAAGTATTTATAGATTTATGTGTTCGTGTCCGATAAGTCATAAACATAATGAATAACATTAGAAATTATTCATTCAAACTTTTATTCATTGCAAATATATTAAAATAGTTTATATGACAACTATTAAATACCACTTTCAATATATTTATAAATAAAAAGTACATAAAATT